GTGAGAAAAATATGAGATATATAGCAATCCGCAATTTGTAAATGGCAGAAACTTAAATGAGCCAATTTCTATATACATGTTTGGCAAATGTTGTAAATGAGTGAAGTGATAAATTAGTATGCTCTTTCTTGATATTGATGCTGCCATGATTGTTATTATTATTCTTGTTATTGTTGTGGTTATTATTATATTGTGAGAAGTAGAGAACGTAGCTAAAGGGGTCCACAACAAATTCATTTTCTTACTATTTTTACATACTTTGACTCAGAGTTTGGTAGGTTAATTGCAGAGTATCCATTTCTGATTTTGTGTTTTGTTCAATATCTGTGTGGCTATGAAAACATTGGAGATTTATTCATTCTTTTGTCTAGAACCTTCAAGACTTTACATTTGAAGTCTCTAGCTAAAGAAAGCTTTAAAAAGGAAAAGAACAGAAAAAGTATAAAGTTTATCTGGAATTGACATAAAAAAAGTTGAGGATTTGATCTTCTTAAGTTATTGATTGCCTTCTTCGTATGACTTTGTAGGGTAATAGCCTTATGAGGATCCTTAATATAGCAGCATTTGCTGTGTCAGGATATTCTTGTACGGAGGGAAGAAATTGCAAGCCATTTAATCCATTATTGGGGGAGACATATGAAGCTGCTTATCCAGATAACGGCCTCCGTTTTATCTCAGAGAAGGTATTTTTAATTGTTGCTTGAAGTTTTAAAATGTTAAGTGCTTCATATATAATATATTTTTTCCAAGTTTGTGATGTTTAAAGTTGTATATGATTCACTACCTTCCTGATCCTATTCTGTGGGAAGAGATCTATAGAAAAATATTGTTATGCTTATCTGTAACTAACATATATAGAAAATGCTGTAGTTTTTTATTTTATTTTTTATACTTTAAGAATAGATTTTTGAGTCTCCAAACTAGGGGTAAGGTTGACTACCTATTACCTCTCCCAAACCCTTATTATAAAGCAAGAATTGTGTACTGGGTACAACCTTTGAAAATAGATTTTTACCTATGTGATGTGTCACTCAATTGTAGTGTATAGATGGAACTATCACCATCACCATAGAACTATCACCATTAACCTTAGACAGATCTTACCTTTCTTCAAAAAAAAAGCTTTAACAACCCCCTGTTTCGCCTAGTATGTATCTTTTTATTTTGTTTAAAATTAATTGATCTTTTCCCAGAATTAAAATATACGTATAAGATGTATTCTTTGTATAACCCTCAATCACTAACTTTAAATTTACATTGCACACTTTATTTTCCTTATAAAATTATGCCTATAATTTATTATTTTGTGATAAATGTCACTATTGTACTGATCTAATAGCCTCATATCAGTTGTCTCATACCAATGCAACAAGGTCATACCAATGAAATTGACACCCAAGGTATTTGGATTTGCAGGACAAGTTTGTTAGTGGAACCAAGGTTGAGTTAGGTTTCCTATTTCATCGATACACTTTGTTTCGTTCCTTGACATCTGTGACCCAATCTTCAATATTGAGAAGATTTCTTCATCCCTTATGGCTTTGATTCATGGCTTTTAACTGTTGTTTTTATCACAAGTAATGCCTTTTTTTTCCCTTCTTTAATTTGCTTTTCCCCTTTTTTTGCATCATGTAGCATTTGTGTATCTGGGACAGCATCTTTTTTTGTGTAGGCATGGGACAGCATCTTAAGCTTGCTTTCATTGCAGGTACCTGGATCATAATCAATTTACTGGGAGAATACCGGATGCATTCTATAAGCACACTTTCTTGAAAGAAATGTGAGTTTCTGTCTTCAATCACTACAAGCAAATTACAGTTACTCAACACTAGGTCAAATGCTAACTGATTAAATGTTGTCACAGGTATATTGAAGGAAATGCTTTCCGGCCAGGTGTGAACCCTATTAGCATCCACAATGTCCAGCACTATGTCAATGGTCAGGTTGTCATTGAATCAGCACGGGATACTCTGGAATCTTGTAGTAAAGCACAAACGGACTCTTATCAGGAGGAAGTTGCAGTTGCTTAGAAACATATCTAGCTTATTCACAGCCTAATAGTTTTTTGGGCTATTTGTATTTTAGTCATGGTGTTTGCATAACATCTTGAATTTGGAATTTGCAATGTTTCTATGGTACCTTCTCATATGTATATATAGAAAGTTTATTTTATATTGTATCAATATTTAGCACTTGAGTACTTCGAGTTTGTGTTTTAAATGAATTATTAGTTTGCATAACATCTTAGGTTTATTATGGATTGAATGAATTATTAGGAATTACAGGTGTATTATTTTCCTGCTTTGGCGACTAATTTATTAGTCGCGACAAACAAATAATTTTTTTTCGCAAAAAATGACAATTGCCGACCAAGAGTTTTGGTCGCAAAAAATACATTTATTGCCGACCAAAATAGCTATTGGTCGTGGAAACTCAGTTTTGCCGACCAAAAGTTTTGGTCGCGAAAAGTAACAAATGGCGACCAAAACCTTTTTTGATCGTGGAATGTCACAATTGGTGACCAAATTTTTTGGTCGCGGAATGTCACGATTGGCGACCAAACTTTTTGGTCGTTGAATGTGATAATTGGCGACCAAACTTTTTGGTCGTGAAAATATCATTTTTCGCGACCAAAGTGTTTTAGCGACTAAACGAATTAGTCGCGGTAATGATATATTTCGCGACCAAAAATTTAGTCGGCAAATCCGACTTTTCCCGACCAACCAAAATTTTGGTTGCGAATTACTTTTGCCGACCCTCAATTGGTGACTAAAGTAGCGACCAAAAAAATTGGTCGCAGATAACTTTTGCCGACCAAAAATAGACTTCTAGCGACCAATTTTTTTGTTGCAAAAAGTGTTAATTCTTGTAATGTCAATAATGATAGACATCACCATTTTATTGAAATTTTCATAGATAATAATATGACTTATCATAGTCTTTTTATTTTTAATTAAAACAATCATTATTACTTTCATAATTTTAAAAATGTTATTGATATTTCACTATAAATAATATTTTTACAAATATTTTTATTTAAATATTTTCTTTTTGTTTGAGGAAAAAAAAATTCCAAAACCCAGGGGCACCTGACCCCTCTGGGCCCTCTATACCTCCACCACTATTTATAACTGAGAAATCACTAATTTTTAGTGGTTAAATAGCTAATATTTACAGTCTAACAGCATTTATAAAATGCACAAGCATGAATATTGCTAAGGCAAATACAATTCATTCAAGTTTAATACTTTGAATTGACAAAAAAAAAAAAAAAATGAAAATAAAAAATAAGATAAAAGGACATTCCTGCAAAAACTAAGACAAAAAGCCTAAAGCCCAAAATAAGAAAATTTAGCCACCTCAAAGAAAATCTAAAAAATCTCAAGGTTTTTATGTTTATGCTACACTTTCTGGAATGATGGATTCTAATTGGTTTGACTAGCATTTATAGAGAGAAGGGCTCATCCAGAGAAATAGATTTATATGTTGTTCACAACTACATATCACAAGCATTTGATGTTTATTTACCATATGACCCTTACAAAATTATAAGCAAAAAGAGAATATAAAATGGTTACTTGTAAGGTTATATTGGTTGACTGGGGAGAGATGTTATTGTCCTTTGGGTAGTACTGTCTCTGTGGGCAGGATATGCATATGCATATACATGCAGCAGTTAGTTGAATTTACTCAATTTGATTACTTGCAACAACGTGATTTATGAAGAGTGCAATTTGCATTGCAAATAAGCACTCAATTCTCTTTACGTGGCTAGCTTTTTCTGTTTCCCTTGTTTTTTTTTGGGGTTATGTAACGTTTTCTGAGTCAGTTGACGCGCATCAGATAAGTCGTTACAGTCCAAATAAATCTTTCGAATATACATTTGCTGGATAGGGGATTCGAATTTGAGACTTGAAAGGGAACAAACCTCCAGCATCACTCACTGGGCTAACCACCAGTGGTTTGTTTCCCTTGTTTGCTTCCTTTGTTCACCTCTGTTGGATACTTTGATACGCATGTGATGGATTTCTTGCAAAGCACACGCACCAAACAGATTAGAGGATAGTTCTCTCTCTCTGCACATGCACGCTGCGTGGAATTGTTTGTTCTAAAATTACAGTCGATAGTTGTTGATTGTGTCTCAACATTCAAACACGTTTCTGTTTTAAAATTTTTTTAGTTATATCTGACCGAAGGATTTGATTTGATGAAAAAAATAAAAATAATTATAACAGAAAATACATGAAAAAAAGTAAGAAGGAAATATAATTTCACTTTTTATATCTAAGTTCATTTAGATTTATTTCCTCTCTCTATTAATTCTTTATTTTTTTCTTTCTATTTCTCTTTCCATTTCCTTCATCAAAATCTCTAACTAAATCCAGCCTCTTACACTTTCCGTTCGGATTTGGATTGAATATCTGGGTGAAAAAAAGAAAGAAATAGTGAGAAATAGTCATCGCTGTTTTGGATGAATGAAGATGTGATAAATTGTAAGAAGTGATAATAATTAGTAAGAAAAAGAAATCTTTTAAAATTTATGTTTTGTTTCTTGTCAATAAATGAGAAACCAAAGTTGATACTTAAATCGTTCAAAAACCTAAACGGTCCTTATAAATGGAAAGAACTAAAAATAAAAAGATAAATTTAAGTTAAAGTATACTTTTAATCTTGATAGTTTCACCCCAATTTAATTTTGATTTGCAAAATCGAATAATTTAGTCTAGTGATTAAAATTAACAATTTTTGAGATTAAATTAAAATTAAATTTAAAATAGGCATAGGGAGTAATCTTATTAACAAAAAAATGTTCACGAAGGTTCAACTTTAAATTTGTGAAGAGAAAAAAAGGGGGGAAAAAAAAGGAAACTTTTTTAGTTCATTCGCTTTTCTGTCCTCTCTTTCGTTCTTTTCCTTGATCAATATTTGATTCAAATAATCAGAGTAAAGCAAATATGAAACCCATCCAAAGCAAATAACTTAAGCTCAACACTTGTCGATAATAATATAAGAATTTGAGTGATCATAAGCTACAATCACTTTTATTATCATTAGATCACATATTATTGTTTTTATCACAATACCACATCACAGAGCTCCCACTTACACATCGTTACAAGCACACCCCCAAACACACAAATCAAAATGATAAACACAAAGAGAGAGAGAGAGAGAGAGAGAGAGAGAGAACACAGTAGTAGACGAAGATTTAGAACATGGAATTGAAAACCCTAGAGGTTAATTTTACTTGGTAGCAGGTGAAGGAGAGAAGTTGAGTAACTCCTTGGAATGAGCCCAGGGCTGAACCACCACCACCGCTTCAAACGTCCTTGGGATCTCACTCCTTGAATACACGGCGGTGATCTTCAAATAGTACTTGATCCCGGAAACAACCTGCTTCTCCGCCTCCACCACCGCCTGAAACCTCAGATCTGCTCGTCCTCCGTTGAGGTGGCTCTTCTTCTGCTGGAGGTTGTATTGCTCCACCGAGTACCTCCCTAGCTCCTGAACCTCCTCGTTCGACTTCACGTCCTTCACCTTCGTCCTCCCTCCCACCATTCCTCCGTGCCCTCTCACCGCCGTCGAAACCACCAACACCACCACGAGGATTAGCAGCACCGCCGATGATGAATTCTTCGCCATGGCCACCCCCGGTGAGTTTCCTAATTCGTGTTTGTTTATTTATATATATAGAGAGAGAATGTGTATGTATAGGTTTAGAGATATTTAGAGAGTTTGTTGCAATGAGATGAGCATGAAAATTAATGGCAATGGAATTGCTGATATATAGAGGAGAGAGAGAGAGAGAGAGAGGGAGAGGTGGTGTTTGGACACGTAATTAGGAGTACATGGGGTGGCAACACGAACGGCGTGCCGCGTTTTAGCAAAACAGTGCTGCTACAGACCCCCACTGGGGGTCGACCCCCAGTGACGTGGCGGGCCTTCATTGGCCAGTTTTCTGTTTTTTTTTTTTTTTTTTCTTTCTTCCAATCCCGCAGTGCCACGTGGCACTGGGGGTCGGTGGGGGTGGCATTTGCTGGGGGTCTAAAGTATTATTCTTAGCAAAACAGTGCTGCTACAGACCCCCATTGGGGGTCGACCCCCAGTGACGGACTCTCTCTCTCTCTGTCATAGAGAGAGAGAGTGGAGAGTTAGAGAGAGAGACGAGCATGGCTTTACATCTTGACGTTCTTTTCCATTCTTGTCCTCCTCATCTTTTGTTTTTTAGCTTATCTCGCATGGGTAAAAATGGTAGTGTAAAATTGGCTATGGCCATCGTTTTTGTCGATTTTGTTGTTTTTTTACAAAATTAAAATGAATCATTGTCTTTAGGTTGAGTTTTCTGTATTAAATTTTTTAAAAATTGAATTTTTTAATTTTCGTATTTTTTTTAGTGAATATTTTTAAAATTTTATTTTTTTTTTACTTTTTTAGATGCACCTTACTTAGATGTGTCTAAAAAATAAAAAAAATTGTGAAAAAATATTTTAAAAAATTAAGAAATACATAAAAATACAAAAAATGTACTAAATTCTTATATTTTTTTTGTATTTTTGGTATTTAGTGAATTTTTAAAAGATTTTTTTTATAATTTTTTTACTTTTTAGGTGTATTTAGGTTAGGTGTTTCTAAAAAGTAAAAAATTTGCATAAAATATTAAAAAAATTCAGTAAAAACAAAAAAACACGGAAAATAAGAGTATAGAATTTTCTGAAAACTGTTTTTAAAAAATGGAAACCAAGCAAAGTGAATGTTTTTTTTATTTTTATTTTGAATTTAAATAACAGAATATCAGTAGGGTATATATTGGCCTGTTAACCTGTTCGGTCCAATTATGTTTTTTAAAAATTAAAAAAATTATTTTAATTTGTTAGATCGGATTCAGTCAACAATTTTAACTTGATATATTAATAGGTTAGATTTGAGATTTATATTTTCAACCCAAGTCGGCCTATCTCGCTATTAAATAAATAAATAAATAATGTATTATTATTTTTTATTTATTTTAGTATTTAAACTTTACCTTTATTGATTGTATTGAAACTTATATTTATAGTGATGTGTGATTGAATTTATTTCAAAAATCTTTTAATTTATAAATACAAATTTTTAATTTATAATCATATAAGTATATTTATTTAAGAAATATAATGTGATTGAATTTAATTATGAAACATTTTAATTTGTTTTTTAACATATAACCCGATGATTATGTTTGGGATTTATAATTACTTTTTGAGTTTGAATTGGATAAAAGTTGAGGTCCAAAGTTAGGGTAGGACTAGATCAGGACTAGATTGGACATATACAAATCTCTTATATATTCAACCCAAATCCTATCTGACTCGACAAAATGTCAACTCCTAGATATCAAGATCATTTTCTTTTACGAAAAAAAATATAATTTGAAAATGTAGTATTCATATCATTTTTTAGCACAAATATTATTCTCTTTTTAATTTTAATTTTTTTTTATTGCTTTTAACGGTTTGATTATCTCATCATAATCATAAGTCTTTGAACATTATACAAAAAGAAGTGAAATTTTTGAGTACGTCAAATCTTGTACCAAATTGAACACACAAGTTGTGAATTTGCATACGGTTAAGGCTTATTTATTTATTATATATATAGATAGATTTGGATTTGGCATACCATAGAGCTTTTATGTGTAATTTTGTGTTAAAAAAATGACAACAAAAATTTTAAGTTGCCAAAGTAAAAAATAGTTGGGAGAAGATAATCATATCAGAGGCCAAGTTAGGATTGTGTAAAATACCGTTTAATTCGTTAAAATCGCATCGATCTATATCAATTTATACTACCCTATCTGTTAACTACGGTTTAAACTTTAAAATTTATAATCTGTCTTCGAAATCGTTCCGCTCTGTTATAGTTAATACATATATTTTTTTATATCTATAATAAAATATCAATGTAAAAATGACTGTGAGAGATTTAAGATGTGAAATTTATTACAAATTAGTAATTATATATGTGAAAAATATAATGTAATATTAGTTTGTATTATATATATAAAAAAAATATTATGCAAATTAGTATTATATATTATGAAAAAGACTTGATAATTGGTTAGAATATTTTTCAAACAGTCAATTTGTCCAAAATCACTCAAACAACAATTTGTCAATCTGTCATTTTACTATTCGATTTATAATTTAATTCTCAAACTATTCAAACTGCACCACGCACACTGTTAATCCAAGTAATGCCAGAGATTCATAAATTTAAATTCATAAATTCGTCTGATATGATTTAACAAATGAGTTGACACTTATTATATCAGAGGGGAAAGATTTTCTTGGGTTTCATACATTTTTCGAATAAGAATACTTAGAGGTCCAATTATATTGATTTTAAAAATAAAAAAATTTTTAGTCAATTTTATAATTTTTGACAAAATTACATGAATGGTGGTCCAAACAGAATGTCTATTCTCTCTCCCCATCTTTCAATTACCTACTTTGCAAAACCTCTTACGGTCGAACAGAGCACACAAAAATAGCCCATACTCTGGGGCCGGGCCCGCCTACAGCTTTGAGTGGCCCTGGTCCGAGCCTAATTCAAGACTCTAGATTAGGATTTGAGTAATCATTTTGAAACCTGACCTGATCTGTGAGCCTCACCATCAACCTGTTAAAAGCCCACTCAATACCCGATCTAGTGTTTTTTTTGTAAAAAAATAATAAAATTTTGATAAAGCCCATGACCAGGCCCATTGGCTTGCCTCAAGGCTCGGCCTATTGGCCCACCCAAGGCTCGAATACTCCTGAATTTGGGCCTAATTTTCTAACTTATAGGTCGATCCAAATTTTGACAGGAGCCCCCAAGACCCACCATGGACCAGATTGGACCAAATTTATACCATTACATCCCCACACCCCCACACACCTCTCTCTCTCTCCATTAGAAAAATCTCTTGATGAAATCTTTGCAAGTTAGTAGAATTAATCTATTGAATAATGTTTCATATTTTAATTTTGCTCCTTTAATTTTATCTTTAATAATATAAAATTAGAGAGACTAAAGATAAAAGAGAGATTTGCGTTGGATCACTTTACATAGGATGGGAGTGAACTACATCGTTAAAGGTGGAATTGGTGATGCAAAACCAGGAAATATAATATCACTCTTATTCATTTTTACTATTGACGTCAATAAAATTTTACATCTTTTAATATATCACCTTGTAAAAGGGAGAGATAGAGAGAGAAATGTGAGTTTATCTCTTCATATGATTTATTTTATATTGTTGAAAATAAATTAGAATAATATTAAAGATTCTAAATATTAACATTTTTAACAAATATCTCATATGAGTGTAAAATTTACATAATATAAATCTTACATTTATATGAAATATTTAATAAAAATATTAATAAAATATTTAGAGTTCCTTATATTTTTTCATAAATTAAGATGCTCAATTACACTTCTCAATTATTTTTCTTTACTCATTTTTACTAACAACAATATTTGATAGTTTAAATTTTTATGACTCGAATAACTTGAATATCTCAAAATAATACCATTTTAAAAATAAAATATCGTCATTTTAATATATTTGAATCATTTAAACCATATAAATTTAAACAGCTCCGATTTGTAGCTCGAATAGAGCCCCCCGAATCCCCTGAATTTGGAAAAGGTGAGTTTGAAAAGAAGAAGAAACAAGAAGAAGGAAGAAGAAGGAAAGGAGGGGCCAACATCAACCAGAAGGGGGCTTAGGCAGAGGCGGAGGCAGAGGAGGGGGGCGGAGGCGGAGGCGGGGGCAGGGGGCGGAGGCGGAGGGCAGAAGCAACGGTGGGGTTGGGCTGCGACGACGAAAACCGGGATAGGCTGCGACGGAGTTGGGCTGTGACGATGACCGAGCTGGGCGACGATCGGCGAACCTCTCCTCTTTCTCTCCTTCTTCCTCTGCGTTTCAGACTGGAAAATGGAAGGAAAAAAAAAAAAGAAAATGCCCAAAACAACGTCGTTTTGGACATTCGGGGGATTCAGGGAGAAAAGTTTCGAGCTACAAAACATTATTCAAATTTAAATTACTAAACATTTTTCTTTTACCTAAACATTTTTCTTTACTAATTTAAGAGAGAGAGAGAGAGAGAGAGTACGACCAAAAGAGACATGGGAGGTGGTAATGGAATCAGCTGAAGCACAGGTCCCGGAGTCCGTGATGCATAGTACCAATCTCCCACATCAGTGTTCTTTTCACAGTTCCCCATTTCGTTACCTCTAGTCTATTCCTAGGAATTAAAATCCCCCCTTGCATTTTCTCATTATATTTTTTACTTGTAGGGTCATTGGACTCACTTTTAGATTTAATTTTGATAATTCGAATTGTTTATATTTTAAGATTTGTTTATTATATTATACTTGTAAAAAATCAAATTGATCGGATATGAAAAAGCATGTGTTCGGAAAACTATTTATTAAATTCTTTAAAAAAATAATTTTTAGTTCAAGTTTTCCGAACACATGCTTTCTAATATCCGATCAACTTGATTTTTTACAGGTATGATATACTGAATAAGTTTTAAAATATGAACGGTTCGGATTATCAAAATTGGGCCTAAAAGTGGGCCCAATGGCCCTGCAAGTAAGAAATACAAGAAGAAAATCCTGATTCTAGATAATGCGCTGGCTTGGGAGGTTGGTTATTTTAGTTCTCTTTTTAGTTTTTTTTAATTATTTGAATTTTGTTAAAAAAATTTTGTTTTAATTATTGATTAGTTTTTTTTGTAATTAATTTAATAATTATAAAGAAAAAAATAAAATAATTATAATTTAAATTTATTA